CAATTCCATGACTTCAAGTCATGCTGTCCTATGTACAGTAGCTAGTTTTTCAAAACACTGTTCACTTTTGCATGCTTTGTGTTACATTGTCTGGCCACAGTTTCAGAATGTGCAGAACAGTTGGAATATCCTTCTGAGAGGAACAACATTCAAGACAAAATGCACCATAGCACTAAAGACTAATATCTGGGTTGTTTTCCATCCTTGACTACTGTTTTCTCCCAGTTTTTCTCCCAGTGGTGTGATCATCACAGTATGACGCAGTATTGGTAACTGATGAAATGCAAGGCGTTTTTCCAGAAATAGAACTGCATTACATAATGTTCCACAGAAACATTCTCTGAAGCCATGTTCATATCACTGCTGGTAAGTTTGCAAGATGCTGACACAGGATGACAGGTGAACTGAACCATCTGAGAAAGAGAACTGCAAGGATTTGGAAAGGATGTCTACACATAAGAACAATACAAAAAGGTGTTTAATTAGTGTGGACTTAGGTAGATTCACTTTTGTTTAATTCCAGCTGGGATTACAGATAACTTGTATCCAGAGTCTGTGTAGCTGGACATGTAAATTGACATTAGACAGCAATTGGTGCATAAACTAGAATTTATATATAATAATATAGAATGTAATAATATATTTGCAACAAGAATTGTGGCTCTGGATACAACTGCTTAACTACACTGTTTGTACCACCCCTGTCTTTTATAACAGCGCATTTGCAGTGCCCACAATCTTGAAAAACTTTGTTGATACCTGCAAAATTCACACATACAACAATTTGGCCTAGACTCACTCTTTCTGTGTACTTTTTCATTCCACACATTTACAGTATGTGTCTGTCCATAATTCTTTTCTTTACCCAAGACCTGTCAGCAAACGTTATTGGTTAAAACAGGAGAAACCAAAGCATTGAGAAACAGAAACATTCAAATTAAAAAAATGCAATGCAAACTACATTGTAAAATGTGCATCGTGAAATTCTGATTAGCTTATCCTTTCTTTAAGTGCAGTGATTTTCTTCAATGGGATGTTTATACAGGAAAAGCAGAGTGTGACTAGACTGCTGCCTCTGTAACAAGTCCCAGTCACAGCGCCACATGTACAGTATATCAGACCACCACAGGGAAAGTGCATGGTGGAACCTGGACCTGTGACCCAAACAGACAAGAACAGCCCCAGGTAGAAAACTAAAGGGCAGCAGGAATAAAAGAAATCATAATAGTGTTTTTTCACCCCAGTGTAAGGGAGGTAATGCATACCTGCACACATGTATTTTTCTATTTTTCAGGATCAAGGAAACCACACAGTTCAGACTACCTCTCCTACCACGACAGCATGATAATATATGTTGTCATCATACAAACAGCAGGAGCTAAACAATCTGACAGTTAGCATCATATTATGTGTTGTTTTAGAGAGTGCTTTTTTAAAGCAAAATGCTGCCAGTGTGAAATTTCTAAACATTCCTCTTAATGGTGTTTTTGTGTTTTCCCTGCAGCGTGCCGGCTCTGGAAGTGTCAGCCAGGTGTTAGCTGACTGTTCTCTGGCTGCTGGTGCAGAAGATGCTATTTCTAGCAATTGTCTCTGATGCTGCTGCTGAGCACGTGTGCTGACGCTACTCTATTTGACAGTGTTTCTGCATTCATAGCCAGTTGCCTTAATAGCATTCCCCCCTCTGTAGGGCCACACTGACGGGAAAGGGGCAATCTATAAACTGCTCCGGTCTCTGGAGAGCTGCACTGTACAGAAATGACATAATTTGTCTAATGAGCTGCTAACCTGCTTATTGAACAGCCTTGTCCATCTAAGGAAAGTATAACCAGCTAAATTTCAGATGATTTTTCAGGATGACTTCTGATTTTAATCAGTAACACATTTTATCACTATAATGATAAAGCAACTTTACACCTTATTAAGTACAGAGATACTTTATGTAGACATCATATACATATATATGTGTGATTTTGTTGAAAAGGAGAAAGTCACAGATCCATCCTTGAAAAGATACCTATAATTATTACAGTAATACCGAAATTCGCAAATGTGTAAATACCATTTTTATTGATTATGTTTCATTAAATGTATTAATTGATTCTGTTCCGTTCACCTCTGGCATCTCACCTTGGCTGATAACTGACCACTTCACCGGAACGTTCTCATTTCATGACAAACAACCTGAAACAAGCTAAAACATGCTTGAGTGCTAAAAGAGTCTTATACCACTGAACAGCTGTGTATTGGTAATGTGGATACAAGACAAAATATCACATTACATTGCCTGGCTCTTCAGATTAAAGAAGATTATATGCTTTTCTCTGAGGTTTAGTTACCTAATGAGAAAGTTTAACCTTCCATTAGCCCTACAGGTCTCATGTTAGGGACCTCTTTGCTCTCTACTGCATTATTTACAGATGTGATGTTTTGATTGACTCTTTTAAAGACCTGAGCTCAGTGAAAGAAAGGCCCATTACAAATATGTGCCCTAGAGTGGCAGGGACTGAGCTGAGCTCCAGCATTCCAACACACATTACCAGCCACTACAGAGGGTTACACAACAGGCTTCCTGCAGGCACAAAGACACAAACGTGACTACAGGGGCACCATCCTCTCTCTCAGCGTAACCGGAAAAGCCACGCTCATTTCACAGAGGTCTGGCTCTGTACACTCGAAAGCCTTATGTAATCAGTTAGCATGTGTTATTCCTCTCAAGACAGACGCTACTCAATTTGCTCCACTGGCACAGAAGGCAGTTAATTTTCTTCTAAAGCCTACAAGAGTTATCAGTCAAACAGAAACAATGCCAGACCATGTGCACGTTTCTGGAAAAGACACTTTATGTAAAAATGCTTTGTTTTTCTCAATTTCACCATGATTAGACTGGAAATTAAAGGTACTGTGATTATAACATTGTGTGGCAGAATTTAGTAGGACTTCTAACATTATCCCTGTGTGACCGCCTCACCAATACTTTTTATCATCTGTATTTTGTCAGAAAACAAGAAACACTCCTCCACTTTCCTCCTGAAAATGAGTTTCATTATTAAACTTTCTAGTGAGGAGTGGAGATTTCTATTCTACCATCTCTTAAGTACAATACATCACAAACAAACTAGTATTTTTATAAATTAAAATAAAACAAAATCAGTTAGGAATAAATAACAGCCCTTTAAGAGAAATACCTGGTCCTGCATACTTCCATTGCTCTGTGCAGTGTACTCAGCCCTTGCTGTTCTTGATTAAAGTGGAACTGACAGCAATTAACTATAGATGGATCACGATTTCTTAATCTAGATCCTTAATCTTAGCTTCAGCCACATCTGTAAGAGCACTGGAAATTTCCACTTATCCTACACACCAGGAAAGAGCACAGAAGAAACCAAGGAAAACAATCATTGTTCCATCAGACAAACAACAGTAGGATCTTGAAAAAGAATAATGGATCAGGGAATACGCCAATTTTCTTTTCATGCCTACTAGCAAGGTTACAGAACATGATTATGTAATGAAACACAATGACGTAATCACACACCCCTAACCCCCACTGTATAAAGCCTTTCAATGCCTTCTGAAATGCAATTTCATGATGTAGGTGTCAAAAATAGGAACGTCCATCTGGTGGGACAATCTATTGAAATTAAGACCTGTGTGTAGCTTTATTTGTGTAGCTGTGTGTAGCTTTATTCTGGTGCACTATGGCTGCAGTCGCATCATCCAGGTGGATGCTGCACATTGGTGGTGGTGGAGGGGAGTCCCCATTACCTGTAATAGCCTTTTGTTTTTGCAAGTAACAAAATACTTACAGTGTAGATCTTAAAACATACTTTTGCAGTGAGCAATGCCATTTGGGATTAAACTCTATTACTAATTCACAAGGAATAAATCAGGTCTTCTACCATAATTATGTTGAAAGATGAACATTTACATCTTATGCAACATATTACCTCTAAAGGATCAATTCTTTAGTTGAGGGGGCAGAGATCTGATGTAATACAGACAGAAAGATATCAGTCACTTTGTTTCATAAGGTATTCCAGGCATTAGGTATACAAAACCTCACAAGTCCAGGCTTGTATGCCTGTTAAAATAAAAAGACAAATGCTTGATCACACTGGATGACCTTATTGTCAATTAACATTCAACTGTCCATTTTCTAATCACTTTATCCAATACAAGATCCCAGGGGAGCTTGTGCTGTCCAGCAAGCAGCAGGCATATAAGTCTATCGCTGGGCATACATAGACATGCACACACTCACACTAAGGCTAGCTTTTCCAGAAGCCAATTAATCTTCCAGCCAGAAGCCACTTCAGACTGTGGGAGGAAACCAGAGCACCTGGGGGACACCTGTGTGAACACAGGGAGAGCATACAAACGCCACATGCATACATAGCACCCCACATCCAGAAATGAACCCAGGACCCCAGCACTGCAAGGCAGCAATACTAACCACTGCACTACAGTGCCATACAGTATATCTATACATATACATTTCATTCAAGTGGAAACATAGGTAGAGAATTACACTCATTTCACAGCGTGCAAACCAGGGGGCGTATAAAAACATGTCATTCTGAGCACATTTAAAACTCAAGGACTAGGCAGCCTGCTTTTATCTTTAAGTTTCATCAGCAGCCTAGGACAGTTAGCTAGCAAACTGGAGAGAGATAATTTCCTAGCTAACTAACCCGAGAATAAAATACATTTCTATGGCACCCATGAAAGAGTATATGAGAAATAATCTTGATGAGATTGGATGTCATTGTATCTTTTGTTCGAAGTGCCGGAGTATTTAAAAGCGACAGGCCCTCGAAGACACCCGTCCTAAGCAACATCTCCACCTGGAGCTACAGTATCATCACCTCGTGGTTTTGTTTTGTATGTTTCCGTGAAAGAACTACAAAGACCAGCGTCCGAGGCGAGCGGGGCGGGGAGCGGCTGTTTTGCCCCGGCAGCCAATGGCGTTCAAGGCTGGCAGATGACGTCAAGGCTTTGGTCCTTTTTTGCGCGAACAGCCAGTTTCAGGCAGAGAAAGAATTGGGCGCGATAACGCCGGCGGTGTGGGGAATCTGTCAGCCGTGTTGCAATAAAGGTGGGTTGGGTGTTATTGATGCCGTGAAGGGTGGTAGCGAGGTTTTTCCCCTATCGTATATTCATTTGCAAAATATGTTTTACGCAGGGTAGCGAAAACATTCCTCGATAATAAAAAAGCTTGTTGAAAAAGGTGAGTGGTTCTGCAGCATCAAGTGTATTGTGCTCTTTTTCGGAAAGAGGGTCGAACCTGTAGCGCGAATGTTTACTGTGGGATTTTCTCGGGTTTTTTTTTTTTTTGCATTGGGTTAAGGGTTGGCTGAGCTGGACCGTTTCCATCCCTGGGCGACGCTCATATATGTGCCTCGCCATGGCATCATCGCTGCGTTAACAGCTGCTGTACCTTTTGTCTTGTGGAGGAAAAAAAAAAGGCGGGTGCCCGGCTCGTCGGCGGATCGGGGCTGAAGCACAGGAGCCTAGAAATTTCCAGAGGCTGGGTCTAGCCGCCCAGTCCCGTTTCTTTGTTCTGCTCTTTAAGCGTGCTGAGGTGGGGGGGGGGAAGGGGATTTTTTTGTTAAAAAAAAAAGACCAAAACTAGTCCGGTTTAGCTGCTCCAAGCGTTGTCAATATTACCACAGTCCTGGGCGGCGGTCTGTGGCGGAGAGCTGTGCATTTCGTCCTAACTAACCTGTCATGTGCAGGATTCTTTAATTAGGTTGGGCATCTCGCCTTTTCGATAGCCGCGTCTGGATATTTTTTTTTCTGAGGTTGCGAGATGATCTGAATAATCGGGTCGAAGGCTTGTCTTATCAGCCCACATCTTATACATATATATTTTTCTCCTTAAGGAGAGAGAGAGAATAGCCTAGGTTCGGCTGGGCTGTCCATTGTCTGGACGGAGGCGTTTTTGTTCTCTGGGGGAGTTTAATGGTGCGGGGTGTGGAAATTGCGAGCGATTCGGGTCGACCGGAACAAACAATAAATAGGCGGACAGGTTAAAAAAAACAAAACAAAGACAGCGTTTTAATAGTTGTGGCGCGCCCGTTTCAGGTGCTTAGCGCTCTGACACCCCGGATCCCGCTGTAATATTCGGATTTTAACATCGTTAGTAGATTTTGTTGGGGGTGAACTTGGCCCCTCTGCCTCTCTGTGGGGTGTTTTGTGGGGGGGGGGGAGGCACGCGCCCGTCTCTTTGTTCGCTTTCCTCCCTCCTCGTGACGGCGGCTCTTTGTTAACACGCGTCCTGCTCCCAGTGTGTTAAAAGAGCCGTTGTCGCGGGAGAAACCGGGTTTGTTGCCGGCTGGCAGCGGGTTCTGTAACGGGAGAACTACGGCTGGACCCGGCGAAGATGCTCGCCAACCATCAGCCCGTGGCTCTTGGTGGTCACCTTCGCTGTCACCAGCCGCGCCCGGGCGTCAGTAGACTCACACCCACCCACCCCCGCTGTGAATTCATCCTCGCTTGACAGATTTCTACCGGTTTATGCAAACAGACGCCAAATTGGGGAGAGGATCTTTCGTGGGTCTCCATGCATGCAAGAGTGGATGATGACATGCAAATATTAACGGAACGCCAAGAGGCTTTGAGCCCCAGAGCGTCGCCTGGTCCTCCTATGGACGGCTGCTGTAGTTTAATAATTGCTCATCGTCGGCAACAGGATCTCGCCTGTTGACACAATTGGTTTAGATCCGTGCAGTGCGTGGATTCGGGATTTAAAAAGCTCCACTCAAGGGTGATGTAAATTCGTCTGCAAGGCGTTTGGGGACGTAGAGATCGGTTCATAGTAATTCAGATAGAGATGAGTTAGAAGGAAATATCTTTTTTTTAAAAAAAAATAATAATTTCTTGCCCGAAGTTGTTAAATCAATCGGCAATTCGTACGCACGGCACTGAGGGAGCTGTGTATTTAGGGCTAGGGCGGTGCCTCGTTTAATTCTGAGATGTTTCAAGTGGCGTCGCCGTTGCACTCGTTAGCTGGGAGCCTGTTTTCCCCCTCTTGAATTGGAGTCCAGCAATCTGTGGCTCATTCTCACTCCTGATTTCTGTGCTGTGATTAGCGAGCGCACTTGTCGTTGATCCTGTACTCGCAGCGTCAGCCCACAGGGGGGCGCAGCGCAGGTGGGTGGGAAAGCCGCTGCTCTCCTGACCGTGCTGACCCCTCACCTGAGCTTCCGACAGTAGTTCGTTACAGGTGCCGCTTCAGGATTGATTGGGATGCCTCTTTAAAACCTTATTCCTATACAGTGCAGAATAGAGCAGGTTTTTTCTGTCAGCATTTAAGCTATTTAGCTCTTTGAGCTTCAGTGGCCCTGGCCTGGAACAAAGACCTTAATTCATACATCAAATGTGATACTAAGTTCCACACCACAAAGGGTTGAAGCAAGTCTAGCTAGCAGCTCTGACAAACTGCATTTCTGGGTGTTGTGCTGTTTGGGAATGTCTAAATGGCTGGATTTTAGTTTTGTGCCTTTTTTTCCCAGGGTCTACCAGACTTCAGTCTGCAGTGAAATGGCTTCCTCTGGAGGTGAGTTTTTTTTTTTCTCAAGCCCGATTAATTTCTTTTCTCTAGTCCAGTGTCCTCTAACCTGCAGAAATAAATCTGGAAATGCTCGAATCTCAGGCTAGGTTTTAGAATCGGGAACGCCTCGTTTCCTTCTGTAATGTCCTCGTCTGAATGATATTTCTGGTTCGTTTGTATAAAAATCCCCCACGGCCTGGGTACTGAACTGGGCAGTCGGTATCTCGCTCTTGCAGCAGATATTCAGGTCAAGGAGCTGGACAAGCGTGCCTCTGGCCAGGCCTTCGAAGTCATCCTGAGCCCTTCGGCCCCGGAGCCCAAGGCCGATTTCCACCTCTCGCCCCCCAAGAAGAAGGACGTTTCGCTGGAGGAGATCCAGAGGAAGCTGGAGGCCGCGGAAGAGAGGCGCAAGGTAACCCCCTTCGAGCGCTGGGGGCCGGGGGCTGGGGCTGGCGAGGGTTCTCGATGGAAGATGGCCGGCCAGCCCCCTCTGCAAGCCGTGACCGGTTGCTGTGCAGTTTTGCTGCGTGTGTGAGCGATCAAGCGTGGATACCATTGGCACACGTGTGTGGTGTTGGAGCCACAGGCTGTGCTGGGTTGAAGCAGAGGCAAGCGAGTGTCTGGAAGCTGAGAAATGGCTGTTGCCCTGACGTCCGGGGATGAAGCTCAAGCTAAATCCAAACGGTTCTACACCTCCACTGAGTCAGAAGAGAAAGCAGTTTCTCTTCTGACTCGCTGTTTCTCTCCCCTCGCAGTCCCACGAAGCAGAGGTTCTGAAGCACCTCGCCGAGAAGCGCGAGCACGAGAAGGAAGTCCTGCAGAAAGCGATGGAGGAGAACAACAACTTCAGCAAAATGGCTGAGGAGAAGCTGAACCAGAAGATGGAGGCCAACAAAGAGAATCGCACCGCGTTGCTGGCGGCCAAAAGCGAAAAGTTCAAAGAAAAGGTAAACGCGAGCAGAACGCGAGGTTGGGAGGCCTCCGCTTCCTGTGTTTGTGCTCCCTGTCGCTTCTGTGCGCTCTCTCTGGGCCGTGACTGTGAGAAAGAGGTGTTAGCGGTAGTGTGGTAAGTATCTGCAGGGCTTTTCAGCCTGCGTGCCTCAGAACTGGTGTCATTCAAATAGGTGAAAAATCCAGTTCTTTCATTTGCAAGGGTCCTCCAGCCTTTGTCTTGCTATACATTTAAGAGCTGGAATGTACATGAAGCGGTCTGCTTCAGCACACAGCTCCTGTCCTGTGGACGCGTGTGTTGGCCAGCCAGCACAAGGGCACTGGCTTCCTTGTATATACCATACAGAGTAGATCTTCTGTCTCTTGTAGAAGACACTGGGAGGTCGAGGCTCCTGGCTGCTTTAAGGATGTATTGCATTAGGTAGTCGACTGCCGATTAAGGTCACCTCACCCTGCCAAAGACCTGGCTCCGCAGGATGGATGCTGGAGCCTTTTGTGTAGTTTTGTGGTGGCAGAACACATCCATTGCAGCTGGACATTCTTGCAACTTCCTGCAAGAGCCACCCTTTCACTATAGTTTTTAAAGGTGCTTTCACCAAATTTAAAAATTTGAGGGCTTCCTTGTTTTAAATGTAATGGGTGTTATTGTACAGTGTTTCTTGAGTCTTTTTTAGAATTGCTTACGTAATGAAATGCTTTTGACTTAATACCGTTATTAGGTTTAGGGTAAATCTTTCACAGGTTTGCTTTTAAATAATGCTTAGGAATTGGATTTAGCACCATTATCATTTAAAAATGCACGATTTGATATATAAAGTCCAGAACAGCATATATTTGGGGATCCTGATATCCAGTTTTCTTGAAGATGAGGCTTTTAAATTTGTATAGTATAGCAAGAGCTTTGAAACCCATTTCAGAGACCTGAATGAAGTATTCTTGCAACCAGCTGTTGTGCAGACGATGCGTTTGTGATGTATTTGGTTAGTGCTGAAAACTAACTGGCTTGTCTTTATTGTAGGACAAGAAAATCGAAGAAGTTCGAAAGAATAAGGAAACCAAAGAAGGCGGCGAGAACTGAACTTTAAAATTTGGGGAATATAGGGTTTTTTTACGTATCCAAAGATTTTTTTTTTCTTCATGGCCAGTATCTTTTTTTTTTTTCCCGGATGGTTTTGTTCACTGTCTACCTTGTTAACTGAAGGATTAAGGGAAAACCTGGAATATTGTTCCATTTTTCTTCCCACCCCCACATAAGTGTAATTGCAGTGGTTTTTGCTGTAGTTATTCCTTGTTGCATCAGTTTTCTATTTGTAGGTTGTCCAATTGCGGCTTTGGATCTCTGAAATAAGCAGTGTTTTTACCTAGAAGAAAGCATGTCTCTATTACACTTGGGTCTTTAACATTGTTGCATAGCGCAAGCTGGAAATCTGTATCTGTGTAAGTCAGAACTGCTGTTCCTTAAGCTTAATAAAGTTGCACACAGTTTGTTCGTTTAGTCCTGCCTCTGCCTTCATTTCTAAACGGATGTTTGTTCTTCCATCTGTCGGTCTTGTAACCACTTTATCCGATACAGGGCCAAGGGGGAGTCGGAGCGTATCCTGGCAAAGAGGGGCACAAGGCAGGACGCACGCGGAACGGGATGCCAGTCCATTGCAGGACACACACACAGACAAACACACTCACACTATGGCTACCCAGCTTTACCCAGAAGCCATTTAACTTACCAGCATGCCTTTGGGCTGTGGAAGGAAACCGAAGCACCCGGAGGAAACTCGCAGGAACATACAAACTCCACATAGACAGCCTCCCAGGAACTGAACCCAGGGCTTCAGTGCTGACAGGCACCAATGCAGACCACAATGTCACCCAATGTTCTTCTAAGTGTGTATTCCCTCTGCCTTAGATCTGCTGCTTTTCCTTTCTTGAGTAGCTGCTACTTGAATGGGCACCTACAGTTTGTCTCAGCCTTGCTGTTCTGAAGATGGTTTGCATGAACTGGCAAAAGGGAACGACTGGTGTCTAAGGGAACACGATAGTTATTCTTTGAGGAAAATTAACAAACTTGGAGGGTTTAGTTTGTTACTGAAAAGTTCTCACATGGTTTTAAAGAATGTAGTTCTCCACTTAATAACGCAAGCTAGTGCTGTACCGCCATCTAGTGGAGAAAGTTGAAAAACGGATAATTCGTGAAATACCTCTTTCATAAGATTAGATCATCCACTTTTGAGACCTGTAGGTATAGAAGTTTAAGCTCCGTTTGTTAAATGCAGTTTTATTTAGATTATGCATTTAATTCTAAACTATGATGTAAGGCTAAAGATGATGTTTAATTGCTTGCCTAAATATTTTTTCTTGCATAAATGGGTTTTCCTGGTTACTAGCAACTGGAATTCACTGTTCACCATGCTGTCTGGCATTGCTTCCTACTTCGTATTTTATATGATAGCATTTTGCGAGTGCATTGTACAATTTAACTGTTCTAACTGGGAAGCGGAACAGGGAGATGCTCGTTATTTTTCCACCAGCAGGGGCTTCAGAGATTAGGAAGCCATTTGGCCTGAAAGTACTGCTCTGCTTTCCAAGTACGTCTTGCGCTAGATCTGCATTTGCACATGACCATTTGTTCGTCATCTGTTTCTTCAATCTTTAAATATCAATTGGAGTTGTGTTGTGCTAAAACAGGTAGGCAAGTCTCTGTCACATCATCGGGCTGGGGCCTACATGTTGGTGATTGTGGTGGGGCAGGTCATCATTGCCTGTAAAACACTTTGGGTGCAGTCTCCAGAAACGTGCTGTATAAGTGTAAGGAATTAAAACTGAAACCATTCTTAACAGAACAATAATCTGATGCAGCCTACAATGACTGGGACCTTGCAGTGCTTAAAAGCACTGTTTTAGCTTCTTTAAATGCTGTCCTAACTGCTCCATAGCTCCAGCTCTGGGGGTGAGTTTCTGGTATGAAGAATGCGAAGAAATGTGAAGAAACCTCGTGTTGTGCTTGACTGGAGGAGTATCGGTCCGTTTCCATGGACTACGCTCGCTGTCCTTAGCAGTCAGCAAAAGGATGGTGCCGGAGTCTCTCGTTGAAGCAGCTCTCCTTTTGAGGTGCTGGATTTCGTTTTTTAAACGCACGTGTACCATGCACGAGAAACCCGAACAGGTTCTTGAGCGGGCCGGTGAATATTTCAGCACGCCTTTGCTGGTTTTGAATTAACAATGAAGTTCTTTCATGGGTATCGATCACATTGTGCTCACAAAGCCATATTATCCCAGCCGCTCCCACGCACCGAGAGAGGACTGGAATGCTGGGGTGTTTCCATGGCAGGGAGAGACTCAAGAGCCTGTGCCCAAAGCAGTACAAATGCAAATTTATTTTTACCTCCATTTTTCACAAGTGAAAAAGCCAGGCACAAAAGCCGGCTTACATCCCCATGAGAAATCCACAGTCTGTCTTTAACGAGTTGTTTTCCAGGGAAGATTTATAATGGGTGCACAGCTACAGTCCTTGAGGGACGGACCAGGTTTTGTACTGTAGGTTTCTAAATCATCAGCAGCTGGAGACCCTTGTTAAATTGATTTGATTAAGTTAACGATAAGCCCAATTAGGTCAATGAAGGAGGAGAGGAGGTAGGGAGTACCCAGGACTGGCTGTGTGCTTTGTTTTAATCAGAGGTGTCCAAATCATGTCCTGTTTGGATTCCTGTCTGTAGGATTTTAGTAGGGTACATATCAGGCGTAAGTAGAAAGGTTTAACTGCTTCTCAGGTGTGGCTGTTATAAAAAGGCCTGAAAAACTAGACTTGCTGGTCCTGTGTGTGAGACCCTTTGATACTGTTTTAGTATCCATGTCATCCACTGAGAGGGAGCTCTGCAGAGACTGCCTCAGCTCCTAGCTAATCTGTATCAGTGGTGTGGTGCAGCTGATGTGATTTCTGTGATATTAGGGAATGAAGGGAACAGGAAAAGCCCCAATCCAGGTAGTACTCTTACAGTGTGTGCTTTCAAATCAACTGTGAAGTTATTTGTAATAAAGTCCACTGCGTATTTATACCAACAGAGGCATTGAGTGTTATTAAGTTTAACCAAAATTGTATTATTATAATGTAGCCAGTAGTTATATCACCCTGCAACTCACAACTGGCAACCCTCAGAAGTTAAGCATGTGTGAGCCTGGATGGGAGACCTCCTGTGAATGCAAAGGTTGCTGCTGGAAGAGGTGTTAGTGTGACCAGTAGGGAGGGCTCACTCTGTGATCTGTGTGGGACCTGTATAGTATTGGGGACACTATACTGTATAAAGGTGCCATTTTTTGGATGAGACATAAAACTGAAGTCCTAACTCATCATGGTCATTAAAAATACCATGGCGTTTGTTGAAGAGTAGTGGTGTTACGCTGATGTTCTGGCCAAATTTCCCCCTGGACTTTACTAAAGCTGGCCTCCTAATACAGTAATCCTCATCTATGAATTGGCTTCATCACTCTGTTCTCCTCCCCACTGATCTGTGCTGAGTGTACTGACTCTCTGCGTGTCCAGAAAAGTGCTATATAAGTGTAAGGAATTATTATTGTTGTTGTTGTTGTTGTTAGAAAAGCAAGGGCACAATTTACGTATTGTATCTTTTGCCCGGAATTTGAAATTTAGATTCTTAGGCTTGCCTGATGTTATGTTACGCAACAGAACAGCCACACTCCCACAGACCTCTTTGAATAGCATGACACAATCCGAGACGATCGCTGGTGTGGGATGGGCATTTTCACATTTTCCGAACGCAACCCGGAGCCTTTTTCGCTCACATTGCCCGACCCGGGCTGACTCGTGCCAAGAGAGACCTGCTGAGCTGCGCCTCATTGGTTGGGATGCGAGAGCGATCTCGCCCTGGACCGTTCTTTGATTGGTGGAGCTGCCTGCCTGTCCGGCGCTGGGAGTTTGCGGACCAGCCTCTCCCTTGCTTAGCAAGCGGTACTGGGCGAGCGGCGGCTTCCCCAGCACAGGAATAGGATTTTTTTTTATTGGGAATTGCGGAGATTACTGCCAGAGGACAGTTACATTACTGACGGAATCATTTGCATTTTCTCTAGGTCCTGCTTTTTTTAAGAGGTAACGTATCAAATGCTTTCTAGTTGTGTGCAATTTTTTAAAACCTGCTTTAAGCAAAGGCGTGCATTGGGATGCTATTGCACAAAGTGCATTCTGTAGACCGGCCTCCTGCTTGCCGGTACAGATAAGCCTCTTCTAATACAAAAAATAATCATTTACAATTGGTATATGTCTAAAATTACCAATAGATCTTTAGGGTCTTTGCAATTAGAATTTAGTATACCGGAGCATATCATTCAGTAAAAAGCATCAGGCTGGTCATTGGCCGAGTTTATTTATTGTAATGCGACAGAATTGGAAGGTGAAGGAGAGAAAAGGCTCGAATTTATTCGGGGACCACGTGATCCTGTGCCCTACGCGTTAGAAATCCATTATTAAGCGCTTTCCGACAGTCTGACGCTCCTTATTTGGCTCTTGACACTAAAGCTAAGTGTTAATTTGTATTGTTCCTTTCTCGCCCATCACTGAAATGCAGTTTTTCTATTTCTAACAGATAATAACCCCTTTAAAAATAATTTTGGAAGTACTTTAATATATTGGTTTTCGGTCTTGGGTCGTAGTTTTCGTCTGCCTTTTGGCTGCACAAATACATTTCCTAAATTTCATAGCGCTACAGTATCATTAAAAATATCCTTCGTAGACTGTAGAAAATCCAGTGATAATCTATAACAGTACATTCTTCATACACGTCATTATTGGGGTAATAATTAGCGCTTTGCTGATCTGCGTGAATCTACCTGACCTTTTGGTTGCAATTAAATACAAATGTGTGATGCTACTAGTATTGTTAGAGAAAGCATAATATCGTACTTGTAGTAAAATTGTTGATGTGGTATGCACAGAACGCCAGAATATAACACTACAATTTTTAATTTCTTGTTACATTAACAAAGTTGGGTAACAGCAAAGACACCTTTGGAAGCATTGATGTAGTGTGGGATTCAGGCCGTTTAAACTTTGTTTCACCGAAACTTGATGTTTAACAATCAATGCCAATGCCAATGTTGGTTGGCCGTGAACTGGTGGAATAAAACCACCTCCCCTGCTTCATTTATTAATCTCACGTCTCAGTCAGCATCATTTCTTTCTTCAGATTCCAGGAGGTACTTACGGTACAGCTCTCTCGCTTCCATGGCGACCGTCGTCATGGAGCAGATCAGCCGGCTGTTCATCAACGTGCAGCAGATCCGGCAGATCCCGAGGCTGCTGGAGTCCGCCTTCCCGACTCTGCCCTGCACCGTCCAGGACGTCGACGTGCCCTGGGTCTTCCGAGAGCCTCACATCCGGACCGGCTACCGGCCGCTGCACCAGAGCTGGCGTTACTACTGCCTGACCTTGTTCCAGCGCCATAACGAGGCCGTCAACGTCTGGACCCACCTGGTGGCTGCTCTGGTCATCCTGGTGAAATTCCAGCAGCTGGCCGAGATGGTGGACTTCCTGAGGGACCCCCACGCCCAGCCCCTCTTCATCATCCTCCTCTCCTCTTTCACCTACCTGTCGTGCAGCGCCCTGGCCCACCTGCTGTCCGCCAGGTCCGAGCTCTCCCACTACACCTTCTTCTTCCTGGACTACGTGGGGGTGGCCGTCTACCAGTACGGCAGCGCCTTGGTGCACTTTTACTACGTCATCGAGAAGGAGTGGCACGCCTCCGTCCGCCACTTCTTCCTGCCCTTGGCAGCCTTCCTGGCCTGGCTGTCCTGTGCCGGGTGCTGTTATGGGAAGTACATGAGCTGCCGTCTGCCCAAGGTCGTCCACAAGCTCTTCCAGGTCGTGCCCTCCGGTCTGGCCTACTGCCTGGACATCAGCCCGGTGCTGCACCGCATCTGGGCCTGCTCTCCCCAAGGCTGCACGGACCAGGCCGTCGCCTATCACCAGTACCAGGTGCTGTTTTTCCTCGTAAGTGCCTACTTCTTCGCCTACCCGCACCCCGAGAAGTGGTTCCCGGGGAAGTGCGACTTCATAGGCCAGGGCCACCAGATCTTCCACGTCTTCTTGGTACTGTGCACGCTGGCGCAGATCGAGGCGGTGAAGATAGACTACGTCGCGCGCCGGACTCTGTATGAGCGCCTGCACGGGGACTCCACCCACGATTTCAGCGCCCTCTTTGTGTTCACAGCCTGCTGCAGTGCCCTGACCGCATTCTACATGAGGAACAGAGTCCGAGCCCAGATAAAGGAGAAAGAGGAATAAGACTTAGCTTTGGGCAAATAATCAAAACAGCCTTCACGTCATTACTAAGAAACAGTCCTGTCATTTAGAATCCTTCTTCTCCTTTGTCTGCCAAGCAAACAGCACATGGGAGGCAATGTGTTCACATGGATACTGGGAGAGGAGAAAAAGTATTTATAAAACAGAGTTTTATCTGGGATTATTTAAAAAAGTGTTAAGCAAAACTCCATGTCCTTCTGACACGGCAGCATTTACAGATACTTTTTTTTGATGTGCAGTGAAATTTTCTTGCAGAAAAAAGCCTTACCTGGGGCAGTTAGGAAGTTAGGAAGTGAGGAATAGGGTAATTAAGACATTACAAGACAAAAGATTATTTTAGGAAAAATGCAAAGCCCATGCTTTGCATCACTGAAGTGAGCTTGCACAGAATGCTTGAGGACATATTACCAGTGTTCAACAAAGTAAAGGAACAGTATGCAAATCTGGCAAGATTAGAAAGTTCAGCAGCTTTTCTGCACGTCTGCTACTATTCTAGTGATACACGTGACAAAGCTTTGCTGAATCTCAGGTCCGCCTCCACATTGCACCAAGAGTACTGCAAGGACAGTATTAAACAACACCAGGTGTTTTGTCACACTTACAAAAAAAAAATCAGAAGGTGCAGGTGACTGAGAGAGTTTAGGCCACAAGAGTGTCCATTCCTGGTCTTGGATATCTGGTTGATCTGCAAGGTCTCTTTGAAGCAGCAGTATCTGAAGAGCTGGGAGAAGCTGTTAAATGGGTCACCTGAAGCAAGTGACCAGCGGGTTTAGCTTTTTAAGAGCTACGCTGGACCAAGACCAGGACTGGACATCCCCGACGTAGGGTCACTGCTATTTGAAGAGGTTGTCTTACTTCATTTCAAACTGCAAGTGAAGATAAATGATCAGTACAGATTGTCAGTCAAATCAGATAGGAACAGAAGCAGTTCTACAAAAGAGTGCCACAGAAGCTATAGTGAACATGGTGAAGGCATGATGTCATTGGAAGACACTGCCACATCGGCTTGCTATACATGCAATTAGTATTAATATGGAGTATAAAAAGATACTGTAAATAAGTATAACATTTTGTGAGTGCATAGAAAACAATACCATATCTGAAAGAGTGTGTTTCTTAGTGGTGCTGTTGTGCTTTAATAGCATTTGTCTCATTTCTTTGAAGAGGTGAAAAAGAGGTGAACCTGAATGATACTGAACAAATGGAGTCAGAACGGTAAATAACTGATTATCTTGGAGAGTGCGATGGAAAAAATTAGGCGTTCATGGACTTCAACAGAGAAATACGTGGTCTGGTGAAGCAGAAGTACACTCACTATAGGCTTTCACGTTTTGCCTTTTTTTTAAATTGAGTTAGCAAGAAGTGTGAAAAGCTCTACTTGCATGTAGTTATTCAAGTGTACAGCTCTGTGCTGTTGTTAGCAGGGGATCCCAGTCCTGGTCTTCGGGACTCGCAGGCCTGTTGGTTTGCTTGGCAGCCAAGCATTTGAGGATTCATTTACTAAAACAAACCCTTAATTGAATCCACAAGTCACTTGGTTGGTACCTTTGCAATTTTTTCATACTCAAAGCTCTGAGATTTTAAGTTCCTCAAGAAATGCAATAGTTAAAAGGTAACCTCCTACATGAATAGGAAAGCAAAGGTTCATATTAAACTTCTTATTAGGTCTATTAAGGGTCTGATTATTTATAATTATTAATCATAAATATAAATTATTTGTTAATTATTTATTATTTATAAAGTATTTAAGTGCTTAGGTGGAACAAAAACCAGCAGGTCTATGGGTTTCCAGGACCAGAATTGGGAAGCCCTGATTACCAGGACTGTACTGTGTTGGTAAGCTAAGCTTCCTCAGTTCCAGGCCTAGACAGCCCATGTGCTTGCTGTTTTTTTTCCATTCAAGGTCTCAGTTATATACTGTAAAAGAACTTAATTATACACCTGAACTAACTCACAAGTTGCTTTTTTGAAAATGGGAATTACTTATAAAATGCAGTAGTTCAGGGGAAACCTGATACATGTTTCAGCACTGAAAACGATTAAAGATGAATTCACATGAATGAATAGTTTAATGACGTGTTTAATTATGTAACTGAGAGGTCAGCTGATGACAAATACCAGCAGATGTGGAGGTTCTAGGGTCTGACCTGTCTTAAGCCACCACATCGTTCTTGACAACCTTTCCTATTTCGTTTTGTCCCTTTTAAAAGTCTACGTGTTTTTTATATACTGTAGAGGAAGTCCTTCGTGGTGTAAATAGTTCATAGAGCTGGCACTCATGCCAGTTCCTGTATTGTCAAGCAGGCTGATGGACAACCATGTTTAGGACACTAGTTCCTTGCAGGTTAACCACTGTACAGCTGGGTGGATCAGAGCAGCCTGTATGAAGCCCATTCATTCAGTACAACAGTATTGTCTGTCTGAGTGATGTGACCCCAGTGTCTCTACAGAACTGCTCCAGATTCATGATCTCTTCTGATTGCTATAGTGGGCCTTATTTTCACGACCAGACAAAAAACAAATGCCCGTCAAATAAGTATGAATAAAGTTGGATTATATCTGACATTTAATTTGAAACTAAATGTAAATAGTAGCTAAAGAAACCAGATATCTATTTTAGCTTTCTTTCTAGGTTGATTAATATATAGACATGAAGACAGTTACTCTAAACAAGGCTGCAGTTATATTGTGTGCCAAGCTTGTGCTTATTGTTTTTAGAAATTGAACTAATTTGTTACAAAATCCAAGTAAATGTAACGGGTTTGAGTTCTTATTTATCTAATCAGAGTAGCTGTTTAAAACTGTATTGCAATGATAATAAATCCATATTTCACAATTGTTTGTGTGACATAATAAATATATAATAAGGCATAGGGCATTACATTTAAGAGGAAGAGTTTGGAATATAGCTTCTATTAATAATGGAAAAAAAAGATTTATTTGTCTGGTTATGCCACACAAAGAAACTTTTAAGGATGCAGTGTACATCTGGGGTTGCTCCATGATCGTGACAGGCTCTCTTTGTCATTGCAAGCAAGTGGAGATTCAGATGCTGCAAAAAAAAACTAGATTACTGCGAGGTGCTTATTTTCAGACCTGAATTTGAATATTGGACATTCAAAACAAGACATATGTGCCTAGCTATCAAACCAGAGAAGTATTAGTGTCAGTTTTAGCTATTTCATACTCTGTACTGTGTACTTTACATAAATATTCTGGATAAAGATTTCAAATGCATTACTTGTTAGATTAACACACAGCTGATATGTAAGTACAGGCATCCTATATCTGAAATGTTTGTATCCACTGAAGCGTTGTAGGTACCACTTGATAGGATGAGTATAGTTAAGGAAGTAAAGGCGTTGTTTGAGATACAAGGTTCCAATGTACAGTATATGACTACACTTGAATGTGAATATTTTAAAAACAACTTCTTCTCAAGAGGAAGAACGGACAAAACAGTTCATAGTTTTTAAGCTTCAGTGGGGGTGAAGGGGGTAAACATGAATGTTAAGTTAATGCATTACAATTTAAACCATTTCTGAGAGAGGAACACAACAGTATATACTTGCCTGTGAGATTTTGGTGTGTAATAGATAGATAGATAAGACTTTATTGATCCCGAAGGGAAATTGAGGATAATAACATATACTGAGACAGCCATGCCTTACTTTCCTATACTGACCTCAAAATAAACACACACATAGGCACACAAGGATTCTATTGAGACTTTCTTTGCAGTTAGCTACATTAATTGGCTTTTTCAACAGACAAAGATGTCATTAATGTTTTTAATATGGAAACACCTGAGATTGCAGTATTCACAATATTTAGAAGCCGCAGAGTAGTGTTACCTGTCACTCTATTGGGCTTATTTTGTTTCTGTCTTCTGATACTTCAGCTGCCGATGGCAGGTTCAAACCCAAATGTTCTGTTGGGAGGTGAAAAGAACACCAGCATGTTTGTGCCAAGACACAAGTGTTCACTGTATGTCACAGGGATGCCTCCTGAGGCACAGCAATGATAATGCCTGAACACTTTGTATGCATTCTGCACTAATAGGTTTATGCATTAGACATTATATATAGCTATACTGTATATAATTTAAGCACTTTATCACAAAGGTTTACAGAAAATAATGTTGCTGTCTTTGAAAGCTTGGCTCTGTATCTTGCACTAAAGATCTAATATGATTCAGTGGCGCTCAATCCTTTCAGGACTGTTTTATTTTATTACTGTAAAAACCTGCTTCTACAGCGATTGCTCCCTAATGATCATGCTAAACCTGAATTTCTTCAAAAGCACAGCGTCTGTCCGTATAGCCAATTATGAACAAATGATTGAGTTGGCTGGGCTCATGTTGTGTCCTGTTTGTCTACCCATGTGATATCTGATTTGTGACCCTGGGTTTTTAGAATGATTTCCAGGGGGTCGTTGAGAGATTACAAGTGGCGTGCTGCTCAGAACATTTCTGCTGATGTCTGTCAGCGCTGTGTGAAAGCTTTTGTATTTCTGCACAGGGCCGTGAAGGGAGAGGAGGTTGCAACAAGTTCACAAGTGACCAGTCACTTGCTGAGAGACAGTGGTGCAAAGATAGCAAATAGCATCCACACAACAGGCGACTCATTGAGGTGTACTTAATGTTTTTACAGTATTCATGCAAACTTGGTACTTGCTGAGTTACAGAAAAAGATAATGTGCTCATCTGATGCGCTCAAACAGAAACCCACTGTAAAACTGACTGTGTGTTATTATATTGATGTATTTAAGTGAATAAACTAATAATGCTATATCAGAACTTTGGTAGAACTGTCTTTCATTGTGGTACAGAGGAATGCCAAGGTCAGCAGCAAGTGCAGCTGTTTAGTTGGAAAAACCTCAGTATGACTGATTAACTTGCCTGTTCCGGCTTTTTTTGTGCTTTCGAAGCTGAAATGAAAGCATTGATAATTATCATCTTGTTAAAAATGGACATAATTGGAATGTCCGCTGCATCAGTGTAAGCAGCTTTAATTCAGGAATGTCCATACTGGGGAACTACATTTCAGCAGGTCACTCTTGGGGTTGCAATGCAGGATCTTTATCTGGGGCTGCCCAGCACCTCAAAAGATTATGAATATGTTTGAGGGCTAAATTAAAAAAAAAGTGATATTATACTATTTTTTGGCATCCCACAGGTTGCCGGTGAGTCACTGCGGTTGTAAGTCTGCAGTGTTTAATCAAGTAATTTATCCAGTGTAGCAGTGGAGGCATTGGCAGATTGATTAATGAATGTGAGCAGGATAAAATGAGTGAATTCTTTAAACCGTGAGTCTGATTGTTGTGCTTCACAGTTCTTCCTATCAATGGGGAGATGAAGTGTCCTGAAAACTTCTGCTGAAGGGGGCTCCCAAAATTCCAGGTAGCCTCTTTAAATCTTAAGACAGTCATATATGGTCTTCAGAAACAGTACTTGTATTACATGGAGCGCATATTAAATGAGCAGATTGGGTCTCTGTCCATAGCAGCTATCATATCTGGGATTGGTATAGGCCTGGGAAGCCTTTAGCCCTCAGTGCTCTGATGTGATCTCTGAACTGATCTGCCAGTCTTCCTGCTTCACCAATGTACAGGAAATGACATGCTTTCAATGACGATGCCCCAGTAGGTGATCCTGCAATGGCTGGATGTGGAGGATGTGTGCTGCCAGATTCTGTATTTGCAGGTAATACAGAGCCTTCTGTTGCAGCAGAAGGTGGCAGGGATTGTTCAGTTAGCTGGATACTGAGTATGCACACTGACACGACTTTCACTCTTTCTCTCTAATATCTTCATTGCCTAAAACTAACAATAAATGTCAAATTGGCTCCTCAAACCAGACTTTAGTGCATGAGTCTGGCAATAACTGAATTTCTGGGCCAATATCTGTGAACTGATGAACAGTAAAGTATATACAGCATACTGTATATATCTGTACAGTACATCATACATCAGTGTATCAGGACTTGCATATAAAAAAATGAAGGGGTCGTGTCAAAGCCTCCTTTTTGCGTTTGCTAGGGTAACAAGGAAAGCACAGTTCTGGGTGGTGTGGCACAGCTCCTGGGTTGTGGGTTTGATTCCAGCCTACTGTGTGGAGTTTGAATGTTCACCCAATGTTAATCTTCTTTCCTCCCATGGTGCAATGATATTCTGTCCTCCAGGTAATGTGTCTAATTCTATATTATCCTTCATTTGTGTAAGTGAATGTGTATCTGTTCCCCGTGATGTAATATACTGTATACTGGGTGTAGTCTTGTGTCCTGTGTCTGAGTGGTTAGGTTTCATTCAGCCACAGCCCTGTAACTCATCACTGTGCACAGACATCCTTTAATTCTTTCTGTCTTGTGCATACATGAATATGGTGAAGGTGTCACTACAGCATCGGAATTAAGTCTTCAGAACGGCATTCTATACAGCCAGGCTAGCTCGCTAGTGCTGTAATGAAAGACACCACTAGATGGAAGCATTGCCTTTTAAAATAGACTTCTTAAATGTTGCGGTAAGGGGTAGAACATTTTTGAACTACGTCAATTCGTGTCCTGTCTTCTGGTAAATCAATAACTGGCTCTTGTCACCTCATTGTGCTGCTTGAGCTTGATATTATTTTACTTTCCTATAACCTTGCTTTGCTCTCTTGAATTTTTTTGAATGTCAAAAATCCTCTAGTTTAAAGGTATTTTGTTTGCAATAACTACACAGAACCTTACGCTACATCTCCTCCAATAAATTGTTTGCTATAATGTCTGACTAAAACAGTTCTTAGTAGTTGATCAATTGATTCAGGCAAAACACATTAATTATGCCAGTTCTGAAACTCAGATATTGATACAGGCTTGATGCCGATTAAGTGCTAAAGCCAATTGTGCAAATATGCCACAAATAGAAAACTGAAATCAGTTAACTTGTGATTAAAAATTCGGCTGAAGCAACTCCACTTACTGGTAACTAATTATTTTGTCATTTCACCGGTGGGATTGTTTTCACATGATATATCATAATGCTTTTATTTTGTAATATTCAGCACTTCTTATTTATTCTTATATCCTTTATATCTTTACTTTTTTTCTTCCACGAGTATACTGTAGGTCATTGTAACAACCCAGCTATAGATTGAATAGTTTGTTGACCTTGCTTGTCATATTCCGGCTTTAAAATGAATGTGTCCCGTAGGCTGGCGGGTAACCGGACAGATGCAGTTTAACCAGAGATGGAAATGATAAACGCGCAGAAACTCTACGGTATGCGCAGAAGTGCACGCATACGTTCACGCGTTATTGCAATTATGCAATGGAATGAAAATTACCATTTTAATTGGTGAAGTCGAAAATATGGAGATTGAAATTTGTTGCTATAGTCTGAAGGTGCTCTGTTCATTCTACAGGGTCAGTTTTACCCTCCCTCAGAGAAAGCACGATCAAGTGTGTCCTGCACCCCTGAGTTTTTCTTTTAAAACGCCGCTTTTAATTTCAATATTTATTAGCCAGTTATTTCTTTAGAACTATTACTAGTCATTGCAATATATACTTTAGCTTAGGGAACATGCTTAATTGAACACCATAGCAACTGTCTATATTAGGATAGGTAATTTTAATCAGTGTCGTGTGGTTCCCTCTTCTGTTATTGTGTTCGAAACTCTGCATCTTGCCACCATCCTCAGATCCATTTCTGTTATCCCCCAGCCTTTAAAGACCCATAACATTTTCAGTTGGCTTGTTCCTTAGTAGTTCAGGTGTAGCCTGAGCTTTTTGTAATGCCATAAATTGATAAGGTTCATTCAACAGTTAAACAGAAGCATGAGTGCTGATGGCTTTATTTGGCGAATGACTGGAATCTGATTCATCTCCACACCTCTGGAGGAGCACGGGGTCCTGTGTGGAGGATGGCAGAGGAGTGGTGTGGGGATTAAATCCATCTCCAGGGTAACTGCCTGCCTCCTTTCACAGGTCTTCTTCCCAACAGCAGTGTGTCATCAGCCAGTGGTGTTCAGCCTCTTCTTAACACTTTACCGGCCGAACACCACTTCAGAAAACACTATAACTGTACAGCCTGAGGCCTAAGCAAATGTACTGTAAGTTGAGGGCAGCCTAATTGAGCTGCGGCCTCCTCATCAGTGAGAGGATTCTGGAGATGGTCAAATTCAGGGAATATGTACTGCAAATTTAGATTCGTAGTACTTTTTAAAAAAGAAATAAGGAATACATTAAAGTTATTGTCCACCATAACTCAATGAGAAGGTCAATTTAAAAAACCCAATCAGTCCTTTAAATGTGCGGAGTTGTACATTGAAGATTTGTTCTTTCGTTTACAACAAAACTATTGTGAGCTACATTCCCAATTGGGATCCAAAATGGTTTGTATATAAAATGTTTATGTACCCTTTTCCTGTCTTTGACCTAGTATTTAGCTAAAAAAGATCCATTTTTAAAGGATAAAGGAATAGTGGTAGAAGGTAAAAGGTCATATTTTAGGGTAAACAGTACAGTCTTCCCAGTATTTCTGAGATATTGAGCGTGTCAAGTGTTGATGTTTATAGTCTGGTGTCAGGCTTATGTAATTAGGCTTCTCACAAAATAGAACTCATAGAATGGCCTTGATTGTTGTTAGAATTCAGTGGAAAAATACTAATTAGTTGGTGAATTAATTACTTGGATATCCTTCAGATCCATTTAATTGGAGCGACTTGATTGGAAAGCTTAAAGTTTTGAACTGAATTGCATGTTAATCAGATCATTCTAATTCGCTAATGAATTTGCTAGTTTTTGTTTTTTATTGATATTTAGATTTTCCAGGCAAAATGAGCAAATTAGCAAAAAAGCAAAATTAGCAGAAAAGGCCAACATATCCAACATGGATGCTGGGAAACTCAAAGGGAAGAGACCGTGTTTCTTTTGGCTTTAAGTAGTTTTGGTCTGCATATGAAAACTCTTTTTCAGGCCAAACGGTTGTCATGCTCCTCTTTAAGCTGCAGGTACATACAGCAAAAAAGGACAAGCTACTCTCACTTACTTGTGTAACAGTTCTTGGGGTTTCTGCCCTTGCCACTCCTGCCCTGCCAGTTTGTCCCTCACTGCCTGGGCACGAACCCAGGTCTCCAGCATCATGCAACAGGGAACTTGCCAGCTGAGCTAAAGCAGACCTCCCTCAGCCCGGGTGGCTGAGATCCCTGTTATACGCAGGAGCGTATTCGTTACAATTGCTAGGTAAGAGGGATATTTTTTTAGGACTGGATAATTCAGGGGGAACAGCAACTTGAGCACTACTGATGTGCACCAGGTATTAGGTCGTTGGTGACAACTGATGTCCCTTTTCTCCAGTGGCTGAAAGAACCTCACCTGTATGTATAATCTGAAAGGCAGCCATGCAGTGGCAGTGGAGTGACGCTAAATGAGCATTCAAGATCATTACACATCCTGCAGTACCTGCCTCTGCTCTGTCTGCTGCTGATTACTGGGCTACACAGCGAGTCAGGAGAATGCTGCTGGTACACTGCTATGTGGATGAATCCGGCAGCTTTAGCATAAGCATAAAGGAAGGAGTTGTATTTTGCATAATGCTGAATCACATCTCATACAGAAAGCCTTTGTTACTGTTCTTTCAGTGGAAGAGGAGTGCTATTTTATAGTTTTGTAGTCCCCTATGCACTCTTCACAGCTCCCTCCAAGAGTTAATTAACTGCTCCTCATTCCTCAGGATGGCGCCATCTCTTGGCTGGATTACTGCTTCAAATGACAACACAATTTCCTGAACAAGAAGACCTCTGATCCATAGTTCTCTAGA